TAATGCTATAAAACTTGAGACACAGCATTTCTTTTTTTTACTTTAGAGTTATAAAATATTTACTGGTTAATGTGCTTACATTAATGTAGCGACACCTTTGTGTCAATTTTATCAACATTTTAAAGCTCGACATTCAATTAATGGTTTCAAGACTAAGTAAAAGACAATTTCATGGTTGTTAATCACAATATGTAAGAGCCTGGATTGTGTAATTGATTAATGCTTTGTGCTCATGTTCAATTGATTTCAGATTTTCTTTGTTCAACAGTATGAAGCTTGTAGATGCAAACAATTGACACAAATTGACATTGCGCATAACTTTGTACGGGATAAAGACGTACAAATAAAATTCCACATTTTACAAACCTGCCCAGAAACAACATTTCAAGCTTGTCCCAAATGTTTCATTACTTAACAAAAAGTACCCTACTTTACATACCTTGACAGCTGAAAATGTGATCCAAAGTCTAAAGCACACTATATATATATTATTTTTTCCCTCTGGGATTTTATTTCCATCAGAGTGAGCACTAGAAAAATACATTACATAACTGCAAGGTACTTGGAAAGTCTCAGACATCTTCCAACAATAAACATTATTCAAAGCTGCTGCCTCGATAACATTAAGTGCTTGTTTATTGTTAGTCATCTGGCTTTGGTTTTCCTGCACAATAAGATGCAACAGCCACGTTGTATAGCACCCAAGAAGTCTCATATCTCAGACATTAACAGAAGTACAAGAGTGAGGTATACTGTACAGGAATAGCCATTAAAATAAAGTATAGGACCACGTTATGTCATTATCAGGTAGATGGTTTGACCATCAAAAGAATCCCTGATTTTTTTGAAGACATTAAATCATTGTTGTGGCTGATGTTGGCGTCAGTAAATCCACTATAATCAGACACAAATATGAAGAATTACCAATTTGACATTGTTCGTCTGTTCACCACTTTACATAATGGGTCACGTCTTTTTGTGTTTTAAATTTGCTTTAATCTCTGATCACGACACCAAACCACTTTCATCTTTCTCCAGATGCCCCTGTAATGGAGTACATGGGATAGATTGTCATAAGAGAGTTGATAATGACCAAGTTTACCGTAAAACAACTGTTATAGACAAAAGCACAGAAATGGACACACTCCCGTTGCTGGTGTGTTAAATTACGGTGCTACTCACATGATAACTTAGGTGCCTCCCCTGAGTCAAATGATGGGAACAGAGAAGGTGAAATGTAAACTAGGGCTGAGTTCGAAAAGTCTTTTTTGCTAAGGAAGGTTCCTAGCTGAGTGAAATGACCCTGAAGATTTTAAGTGGCTGCCATAAAAAGAGCCGGTCAAATTCCCTCAACGCTAAGGAAAGGTGCTTCAAAGCTTCTAATTAATTTGATATCTTTCAGCATAGGTACAGTGGACCATCCTTTACCAACGGAAATGAAATAATGCCTGTTAATCTTTGTGGCAGCAACATTCAAAGCAACAGCAGACCAATGTCAATTACATCCCCAGTTGTTGAAGCCTTGTGTGAATTCAGTCACATTTTCTTAGCATCGCTGTTGTCCTCGTGAACTCTCCCTCCCATCTTCACCTCATGACATCTTCTATTGAGGTCCAGTGAAAGACAAGATTTAAATACAAAAATAACAGAAATGCTATCTTGCTCTTCTGCTCGTAAACTTTGTGTTAGCCATTTTCTCGTGAGTGCCCAGTTGGTAGTGAACATGTGAAACTCTCAGCAGAGATGAGAAGGAAGCAAGATGGCTCACTCTTCAGCTACCTTCCTCGTAATCTTTGAGGAGCATCGATACAGTGGAGCATGAATATTACATTTGTCAGGTGGCGAGAAACATGACTCCAAATTGTAGCTTATGAAAGCAAAATGTTTTACATATCTGCTTGGTGTTTAAAATGTCAACTCTATTAATGTTTGCCATATAGCAGTTTAAAAATAGATAACATTTCAATGTTGTAGTTAAAGTGTATTTTCTTCAGTACATGCATAGTTGTCATTTTCCTTTTTTATTGAGGATATCAGCCGTGAGCACAGCACACTCCATCTGACCTGCTCTGACTCTCCGTGGAAAAATAAGTTTTCCATGTTACGCATGTTAAATCCAGAGACATCACTATGCTCTTTAACGGCCCTAGTGGATCTACTATCGAGGTTTGTTCTTAGCACTGTAGCGTAGTGTAGGGAGAAGGCAATGCTTCTTCCATCTGCTCTAGCTAATAATAGGACTTGGTTGTAAACAATTCACAAACAATTTAGAAGATTATAGTTCAATATTAAAAAATATTAAAAACCTGAGAATATTTATTATTATTAATATTATTATACTACATCAACAAAAAGAATAAGGAATATTCTCACTAAGATCTCACTGTAGCACTGAAAAGACTCAGGTCGAATCCCATTATCCCTGAAGTTTAGCCGGGATTTTCCAAAGACACCTTCACACACCAATCAACCAAATGCATGCATGAGTTTCTACCCTCCAAATGACCCTTACAGGACCAGAATACACAAACAAGTGCAAGATCACTCACCCCGTTACATAAGTGCACTCCAACCGCAACCAATATGCATATGAGATATTAAGGTTGCACTTCTGATGATGGATGTGCTGCACATGTAGCTGTTGGTGAAGGAGAAAAACGCTCCTGTCACTCAGTGATGTGCAAGATTCTCTGAGATAATTCCCACGGACAGTTATTGCTTCCCTACGGTGTGTGAAAGTGAGGCAGAAACATATTTGCTCACATCGCATGCAGTCCAAGGATTCATTCACCTTGTAATTATGCAAGAGCCTGCTGGCCACCCTCACACACACAGACAGACAGATGTAGGCTACTGACAGAATTACACAAACTGTGAACATTATTTCATTCTCATCTTGCCCCTGCGATGTTCAGCTCCTGCGTTTGGACGGGTGGGTGGGCGGTTAGCACGTTTTTGCGTGTGTTGGTGTGTCAGTGAGTAGGTTTGTGTCAGTTTGTCAGCAGTGGCGCCTACGGGACGTGAACACGTGGGGCTACAGTCAGCTCGGGTGGATGAATTACAGCATTGTAAAACGCTTGTGTATTTGTCAGCACACCGCTGCGCCCGTCCAGGAACACTGACTCAGATAAGTGGCTGCTCTCGCTCTGTAGAGGTTGTATGGGAGGTCAGAGAGACGTAAGAAGTGGCAAACCAACACAGTGGAATGAAACTGTGTGCGGTTAACGTTGCACATTCAGCTCCCAGGCAAGATTTCATGCTTGGTGTGGGAGAGGGCTCTTGCCATTGACTGATCAGTGAGTCACTCCACTGTGATACAGACAGCATCTGTTGGAGGGAATTTAATGCAGCATGGATTTCTGCTGTGTGAATTATGAGTTTTCATAACCTTGATGCAATGTGACTGTGTTTATAGTGAGCTTTGAGAATGAGTAGGCCTGTGATAAAAGAAGATTTGCTCTGCTTTTTTTCCCTTTACTGTCTGAGGCCACCATGTTTCCCTTCATGGCAGAGATATATCATGTACGCAACAGTAGATGACAACAACTAATTAAGGGCGATGTTAAGATAAATGATTGTGGTTTCATTGGAAAACTATATGGCATATTGACTAAGAGGCCATATTAGATTTAGATTTATCCCAGGCAAGACAATGACCATTAGCTGTACATCAGAGCTGTCAATCCCATCGTCTCTCTGGTGAACTGTTTACAAAATAAAATGAAAGCATACATGGACTGTAAATAATACCGGTACAGTTAGTGAATTTTTATCCGATTATTTCAGCATTTATCTATGCTTGTGTCTAATATCAATTCTACTTAAATACATCTATGAAACATTAGTTTTTTCTCCAGAATCCTTAGTTTTTTCAGTGGGCTTTAAGGAAGATCTATTGTTCCCCATGGTTAGGAAGAAAAAGGAATCACAGTTCATCCCATAGTTAACGGATTCGAGAGAATGGCAAAGCACCAAAAAAGATTCGATGAAATGAGGGTTTATTTCCTGCTGAGAAAAAAAAAAAAAGCTCCTCAATATAAAGCTCATTTACATGTGTGACTCACAAAATCTCTCTCCTATGCATTGTCAGCGGAGTAGCTCCAGGGCGTTCGTCATGTGGTGCTGCAGATTGGGCCCCTGGCTGTCTAGTTGAACAGTTCATGCATTAAACTGAGTTGGCTGTCCTTGGCAGTGAGAGTAATCAGTGATTAAGTCTGTCTGTCTTTTGATTTTCATCCTTATGGCTCAGTTGTTGTTATGTGTTTAGTGGCGTCATGATGGAGACAGTAAATCAAAGACAATCTGTGTGAGCATACAGTATGTATTATTCATTGTTTGCTATTAGAATCAACCCAATACAATAACAACACTTTAATTAGATTTGTAAAATGCACTAGGATTGTTGTAATACAGATGATTAATTAAAACTATGCATGTACATTTAGAAATATTATTCAAAACAGTGCAATGTTAATGTGTGTGTTTTCCCACAAAGCCAAACACTGCCCTTTGCACACTTGCTGCTGGTGCTCCACCTGGTGGTTTTTGCCTATAAGGGAACTTATTGCTGAGGACAATGTCTCTGTTATCTGTTCAGAGACAGTCTATGACACTTGTTAGTGGGCTCGAACTCTAATGTTTTCATTAGCTTTAAGTATTAATGTGGAGAACTCCCCCTCCGAGCCTTTATTTTGTACGCAAATTGCTCTTTTAATGTTATGCACTCTTAACTAAAATCTCTATGAAGGTACAAATAGGCTTATTTTTATCATACATTCCTGAGAGAATCTACCTCTGAACTAGGATAAAACAACTTTTCTAACAGAGAAAATGTGAAAGCAAAATACCTTGACACAGTTTAAAAAGTTGTATTTTAATAAACTTCCCTTCACATATCAGAATGCCTTACTAAATATCACCACCAATCTGAGATATTTTCTTAATAATGTTTTGAATTCCATGTTTGATAAATCACTTCTGTGTTTTTTCTCTCGTTGCAGGATGAGCCCTTCAGGTCCGTAGAGCCGTGCTGATTGGAGACATGTTCTAAGACCTTAGCCACCATGAAAGGGTTAGGAGCCAACCGCAGCCGCCACCTGTCTGACTCCTGTGAGCCAGCGGGATGCCCACAGAAGTCTCTCTATCCTTTGACCTCTGACCCTCACAGCGCCTTTCTGTTGAGTCCCAACTTGAACCACTATGGCACCCTGGACCCCCATCTCCACCAGTACTCTCCCACCAGCCCAACCAGCCCGAACGCCATGACCCCGGACTGCCTGCTGCCCTTTAGCCAGATTTCCAACAGCAGCACCTTCCCTCGTCTGCACTTCAACTCCCAGTCGGCCCAGGTTGACTGCTCCCAGGCCTATATGGCTGGAGGAGTTGGAGTGGGGCAGGGCAGCAGGCCAAATCCACTCTCCACCTCCTTGTCTGTGGGCATGGGCTTGGGTCTGGGCCTTACTGGGGCTCCCATGATCACCAGTGGATCAGCCACCATCTCCTCGGCATCAGCAGCCAAGATGAATCGGTTACCCTCCAACCTTTTGGATCAGCTGGAGAGGCACCTGCCTTTGCAGCGGGACGGCTTCAGCACGCTGCAGTTTCATAGAGGACGTATGTCTAAGCAACGCAGTGAGAGCCCGGGACGCATACGCCACCTGATGCACTCTGTGCAGAAGCTATTCGCTAAGTCCCAGTCCCTGGAAAACTCTGCAATCAAAGGCAACATTAATGGGCGCTCTGCTGGAGGGACTGGATCTGGCGAGGACGGTGGTAGACGCAGGAGCAAGAGTAGAGACAGGGCTAAAACTGAGGGGCCAAAGCAGAGACCGAGGCCCAATGCATTAGGTTTGTGGAGCTCGGACGACGCCCTGGACACTGACTCCAGAGCTGGAACTCTTGCTGTAGGTTACCGCAATCCGCTGACCATGATGACTCTCGGTAGAGCGGTGTCAGACAGCCAGGCCGCTCACAGACATATCCCACAGGGCTACCACACCATTTCTGCACATACCCTCAAGACCTCGAAAAGCAGCAGTGACCTCAAGTTTCTGGCATGCCAGGCCAACCAGGTAGGATCCAAGGATGGAGAGGGAAGATTCCGAGGAAGCAAGGATGACATACTGGTGAAGAGGGGCTCCTGGTCCACTCTCACCCTCAGCCAGGCCAGGCAAGTGTTGCAGAAGGGCTCCACTTCAGTTAACAGGACCCTGCTTAAAACCAAGTCATGCCACCAAGACCTGGCACAACAGTTTCTTCAGGTAGGAGGGCCAGTGAGTATTCATCTTCATCATCATTCTTTGTAAGTTTGCATGGTTATTTATATAATTTCACTAAGTTTGTTGGGTTTTATTAATGTAGTTTACGTGGAAGGGAGTTTCTGATTTGCCTGATAATTTGAATAGATATTTTTCCAGCGCGGCTCCAAAGGTTTCAGGAGACGCTCAATGAATGGAAGAAAGAAGACACTATATTAGTTCCCAAAGAAAGATCACAAGGAATACCCCAATGTGTGTCATTTTATTAAATAAACACTTCTGAGATTTGGGGTATTTTTACAGTTTCTTGCCAAACTAATTGCTTTTAAAAAAACATTTGTATGTATTTGTTGCAGTCTGAAGTTATGCCAACTAGCAACATTTGAATAACCTTGGCTTTATTTTCGAATGTCTAAGGGATCAAATAACATGGTCCCATTGGCATCAGGAAGTGAGGAAAGTAGGCAAGTAAAACAAGGGGGTGAGGGGGCACTTCTTCCCAACAGTCTATACTTTTAAAAACCCTTAGTTAATCATATTGACTTGTAGTTTCTGTTTATTATAGATTTTTCATGAAGTTCATCACAGTCATATTTCCTTTTCTAGATACCATTGTTGCACATTCCCAGAACCATACTGTGAATATTATTTCATAAAAGAAATACACACAAACCATAGAATACTTTAAGTGTTTAAGGATTACACCTGAAGTTTCTCCATTATCTGGTTTAAGAGTTTCACAACGGTATATATGCGTTTTCATGATCCAGGTCCCTATGGGGGACTGGGCAGGAACGCTGGGCCGCGGCCGGGGCAGAGGAACTGAGATCCCCTGTCGGAGGATGCGCAGTGGCAGCTATGTGAAAGCAATGGGGGACCTAGAAGACAGTGAGGATTCAGAGGGGAGCCCCAAACCCTCCCCCAAAGCGTCTGCCCGTCGCCAAAGCTACCTGAAGGCCACCCAGCACTCCCTGAGTGAGCAGCAGCCGCCTCTAGCTCAACGCAAGTGAGTCCAACAGCATAGAGAATCATATTGAAATGATTACATTGACTATCATGCTCATTGATTTGCCATAGTTGTGTTTGTTTTACTTTACATCCATTCAAATAGGGGTATTTGTTGGTTCTATTGTTGGAATAAAGGTTTTGTCATGTCCCCAAAGGCAGTCAGCAGGTGGCAGCATCCTGTCACAAATAATTTTCTGGATGCGCAGCAGCACTTAGTGAAAACAAATTAATAGAAGCTATTTTTGGACGTAGACATGGATATTATTGAGAGTGGACAATAAATGACATCCAGTATAATTTTTTCATTTGGTACAAGAGAAATAGGAGATGAAATGTTGCCATGTGTTTCACCCCACACGAACAGGCCTCGTTGCTACGCTCTCATGCGGGAGGATTATCTGTGGTCTCCACTACAGAATGCATGCTCTATGCAGCATCTGAGGTCAGTGCTATCCATAGGCAGGCAGTGTGGCCCTCCACCCTCCCTCACTTGCCCCACCACCACTACCCACTACCTTTTTTTGGCTAATCTTTCCCAGTACTTTTCCTCTCAGCCTCCTGCTTCATCTTTTCCCTTACAGGTACCCTGAGTGCTGTGTTTGTACTTTACTCTTGCCTGCTTCCTCAAGCCCTGATATCATAACATGCAAATTCATGGAAATCACTCAACCACACCCTGCTGCTTATGCACACACATTTTCACTAACACCGGGTGCCTGAAGGGTAAGGCAGAACACAGGAAACTTTACAAACTGTAAATCAGTCAAAACATATTTATCAGTTTTACCTATAAACCATTGTTTCCTTTGTGCTGCCATTTGAAACCCGAGCACTTATCACTATCCACACATCTCAGCAGTATTTAATTTGTTTTAAATCCCTAGGGAACATTTTTGGAGTGTGATTTAAAGTTTCTCCTGAATATCATCAATTAAACACAGCCTTCACTTATTCTAGTCTATGACTTCTGAGAAGTTTATTATAATATTCACTTCCACAGCTCCCTGCCGTCCCTGAAAGAGCTGTCGACTAATCGGAGCCTCGATAACTTGGACTGCCTGGTGAGCCCGACGGAGCCCCCCCCACGCTACAGGAGCAATGATTTCAGCCAATGCTCTGCCACACTGGGCAGAGGCTCGACCACGCAGGTATGTCTCCTCTGTTATCAAATATGTTGCTTTTACTATAAACAACATGATGTCAACCAATGTTTCCATGACAGCAACATTTATTGTATTTTTTGCTGGGTATAATATTCCTACCTTAAGATATTTTGGATTTCTTAAAGAGCAATTAAAAGAAAATTTAAATCACCAGGGAATGAGCAAAAAAACACATTTACACAATTCTCCAATTTTGAATCTGCCGTGAGAGAATATTTAAGTGTATGTAAAGTCTATTGAGACGTCTGTGAATGAGCCAGCCGGGAATAAACTAGAGGTATAAAAGAGATGCTTGAGCGTGTTTGCAGAATGTCAAAGTGGGACATATGCCTCGGTGTAAACCTGAGGAGACATTTTCAGCAGCAGCATTGGAGTGAGATGCAAAAATCACACACCGGACTAATGCAAACATTCTTTTATACAGAATAAATGCCATCAGTTGTAATGCCTTTGCATTATTCAAATTATAATGTAACAGTGAAGTCAATCCGAGTAAAGAATGTGTGGATGACAAACCCCAACGTTATTGAAGAGTTCTATGGGTTCATTTACAGGGAATATTATTTATGTCTATGTACCACACACAGTATGTTCATATTTGCCACCTAAATGTCAAGTGTAAAAATACTCAAACTTGTTGTTTCTACTTATTTTTATGTCGTTTGATCAAACACATCAGATGGTGCTGGGCGTCACAGCTTATTCCCATGATACAATGACAAATCTGTGCAGCAAAGAAATACTGGGACAAAGCAGCTTTGATTGACTCATAAAATGATGCAAAAAATAAGCATCTTTGTATTAGCTGAAAAGCAAGAAGCCATCACACCATTTTCCCATCGATTTTTCCAAGACCATTAATAGTTGTGACCTGCTCGATTCACAGCTATAGACAGTGAATGGAAGGTAACTAAGTACATTTACATTCAAAAATAGTTTAGGTACTTTAGTTACCAGTTACTTTTTCGAAATTAATAAACATGAATGAAGTGGTTCCCAATCTTTGTGAAAATGTAACTCTGTATGTTGTAAATTAAATAAATATTACGTTAATATTAATTAAATTGGTTACTAACTTTTTTGACATGTCAGCCTTAAAAATAAACAGTCTATGAGTTGTTTCTAACACAAGAGAAAATTCATCTCTAATCTTCTCCGATGATTTTGTTTAAATGACTTCTCGAGGCCCAAACAGGTAACACATGTTCAATATTTCACAGTATGAAAAAGATCACAGAACGTTTTTTGAAATATCTATACATTTGTCCAGCAGAACATTGTTTTCTGTTCTTTCCACTCATGTTAATCATCTCACAACCCCCATCATGTGACCCTCCACACAGGCCCAATCCTCAAGCTGAAGCTTAACTATTTAACTTTACATAAGGTATTCAAAACTAGCTTCACCTTAACAAGCTGTAACAGTTAAACAATGAAATAATATCATAAATGATGAAATGTAAAGTACATGGGCCATTTTGGAGAAATTAGTCATTTTACCTCTTATACTTTCAGTACATTTTGCTTGAATATGTAAATACTGCGTCCACGACTGTTTATATATTGTACCTGGTAAATGCATATTATTCAGTCTGTCGTCTGCCCTCAGCGTGTGAGTCTGCACACGTACTTTCAGGTATACGGACACGGCTACGGGCACTCAGTACCGTACTGTGAGGGGGAGTCGCAGGCAGTGGAGGCTCTGGATCTGCCTGCGCCTACGTGCTTCCGGTCGCGCAGCCACAGCTACCTGCGGGCCATCCAGGCTGGCTGCTCTCAGGATGAAGATACAGCCTCTGCAGACTCAGACTCATCACCACCCACCACTACAGGCCACAGCTATTGCTCCAACACAAGTGAGTACCAGTGAAGAGAAGGTGGGACAGGGCTGTTGAAGATAGTCTTTGATTTCTTTTTTTATATATATGCAGAAAGGCCGATATTATCTAGCATTAAAAACAACCATTATATACTCTGCATCATATAAGCACAATGAAGATTTTGTAGGCAATGAAAATAAACACTAACATAATGTAGGACAACTCATTGACTGATGCAAAACACACTAATCCAGATAAGTATAGTCAACTCTATCTACTCTATAGGGACAATCATTTCCCCTGAAAAATGAACTTCCCCTTTAAAAAAAAATCTAATATTTTCGGTAGAGTGATTAATTTATTGGCAATCATCTCTGTCATGAAAGAAAACTGAACAACAGTGGGCAAAAACGGTACTCTCTAAGTTGATGAGTAAATAAATGCAACAGAAGAGTGAGACATTGTTTTCATAGCTATTGTGAACAGTAGAACGTTTGTCTCGTGTTTCAGTGAAGTTGTGTAGTGTTTTATGACACATTTTCCAACAATCCTTCCTGTTCCAATGATATGTATTTGGTTTATAATGCTCAGCCTGCAATAATGTCTTCATTGTAGATCTCTATATTGTCTATTGCAAAGAATAGCCTACTGTTTTAGTGTTTGTTGAAAAGAATGTTATGAGCAGTCCAACAAAGCTTCACAAAATAAAACATACTTTTGTTGTTTTGGTTTGAAAGAAATATAAGAGACTTACTACAATGTGTATGGTCTACAGTTCATTCAGTTGCCAATCAAAGCAGGGCCTAAAGCTTTATTTACAAAAGGCTATGTGTACTGGTAACTTGCAGATATTATCACAATAACATGTATTTTTGTTGATAACTCATCCAATTAAAAAATATGATTTATGATTTTGTGTCATCTAGAGGTGTTCTTTAACATAACATACATTGAGTAAACATGGGAAAGTACACAAATAGAATAATAACAAAAGAGCAGTTTGGGCCTTTTGCATTCATATGCCCAGGGACATATTGTGATATCAAATAAAATAATAATAATAATGGTAACATAGATCTCTTTGTAGGCAAGCAGTGCTCAATTAATCTTTTGTGGACAATCCCTACTGTGTAGGGAGCTTGGTTGGTTGGCCTCAATTGAAGTAAAGCTCCATTGTTTGGGAAACGGGCGGCCACAATGGATCGAATATGTATGAGCTTTATGTCAAGGCTGTATAGTCTTTTCCCGCGGCGCCAGGGACAAAATGAAACGCACCTATCGGAAAGACATTTAAGAACGACGTTACACAGATAATGAACCAATCACGTTCATGTTCGATTACATCGATGATCAGAACTGACCAATCGCTCGCCGAGAGCGGTTACGGAGAAAATGTGGACTCCAATCCTCGTCGTCAAGGGCGTGTACTACAAATCTTTTCTTCACAGCGCCGTTGTGTGTCTTTACGGCAGGACACCGTATCCCGTCTGCATCTTGTCTGCATTTCATGAATGACCAGACAAGGACTAAGGATTTTACCAGTCAACCGCCATACAGTAAGATGTTGTCGCTTTCTTTCGCTGACTGGGTGTCCACGTCTAGACTGTCAATTGTTGTGGGTACGCTAGCAACGGAAAGCTAACAAGAGCTAATGGTAGGTTAGCTAGCTAACGTGGATGAAGAAAGGGATGAAATCCTAATACAAGGCGTTAGCAAGCAAGCAGGCGAGGCAGGTAGACAGTAATGTGGTTGGTGTTGGACTGCTGGTTGCAAGGCGAAAAGCTACCGATAGCAGCTCCTCTTTGTTGGCTCTCCTCCATCTCCACTATATAATGCCTCCGGCTAACGTTACTCATTGTTAAATGACTGGTGATATCCCACCGTAACGAGCGTTAACAGGCTAGTAGCACAAGCTAATGGTAGCCGAGGCGTCAACACCCGGCTATGGACAGCTCGGTACCCGGCTGCTAACCAAAGCAGCCACGTCTGTTACAGCAGATAGCTAATACAGTGTGTGATAAAGGCGGTCTTCCTTAACAAATAGTGTGATATTGGAGATGATTAAATCGTATCTCCAGACGCGGATGATTCATTAAATCGATAAATAGGAAATACACAAAGCATCTTGTGAAGTCTCATTGCTTCATCTTGGACTTTGTAACGTTATTTAGTTTATCTTTATCTAACAGGTAATCTCCTGGATTAAATTCCACTGATGAATAAAGCAAAGTACCGTTAACCGATACTTCTCTCTTATCCCAGAGTCAACATGTGACAGTGATCTGAGTTTAGAGGCATGTAGGAAGCAATGAATCACGTTTAGCTTAACCGATCAGGCCAACTGCTAAGTCAAAACCGACTACTGCAGAATGTAATTTATCTCGTCACATGGCTTTCTTAATCAGGTCAAATTAACCCTTAAACATGTGGTGATGTAAGATTAGTTGACTCCAACTGTGTGTAAAAATGTCTGCTTTATAGACCTATTCGTGTTTTATTAGTTTAATGTAAAGTAATGTATCTTATCAAAAATATTATATCATAACTGCAGTGGCTATTTTTGGTCCACAGTTCCATGTGCCATTTATTTTCAGTAGCTATCTACTACCATGTGCTAAGACCCGAGGACACATTCAATAATTGATCAGCTTCCTGCCCTGTGCAGTGCTTTGCAGTTAGGCACTTCACTGGGCCTTTATAAGCACCACATAACAAAGAAGGACATGCACACAAAAGGAATATTACATCCCTTACAATTGCCTATACCAACTGATTCTATTGTTTTTAAAGGGTGTGAGATTCACCTCATATTGTTGGATTGAAATTCGTGTTAAGGACATTATTTATTTTTCTGTGATCTTTCAACATTCTATATTCTCACCACAGGCTTGTGGTAACGTCGGAATCACAGGCTTTAAAGCTTCATTGTGTTGTCAAGGCGTGTTCATTGTATCCTGCACAGCACCATATGACACAAGCCATGGTGTGTCTGTGTATTGCCATGGATAGACTGTGAGTCATCCTCCACAGTATTACACACTCCTCTTCCTCTCACTCATCGATGAGGTCATCTCTTGATTGAATGGGCGAAACAACTATAGTTTCCCAGTAAGGTCAGCAGCAGCAGCAGCAGCCAGGCTCCCTGATGATGTGTGTGGAGCTTTTTAGTTAACATGTTTAGACAGTAATCCTCCAGCCCTACCCATTTCCTGCACTAATGACATGCACCGATTAGAGCAACGTAGATGGAAACATTATGTTGCATCAATTATTATCATTATGGCAGTCACTGAATAATCGGTATAATATCATATTGTGAGTTTATTACAAATCGTAAAACACTTTTCATTTAGGAGTATGCAACATGATCTTAAAACAAAATGTCCATTGCCTAATGAGTCAATAGATAGAAACATAATCTGTATCTTTTGATAATCAATTACATATCAACGGTCCATTTTAAGAAAATGTAACACATGTCATGTGGTAAAAGAGAATCTTTTCATAAAGCATTTCTGCTCTTGTTTTTGTCTTATGGTCTCAAATATAACTGAGACAAAATGGTGTAACCCAGACGTTTGCCCCAGGCCACCAGGTCAGATTAGAATTTAGTTTCAATTCGGGTCAAGTTCTCAAGGCCAAGTCTGATTTTGGTTTGATGTTATATTACATTTACTTATGTCCAGCCCCAGTCGCATGTTAATAAGAGCTCATTGCCTTACTGCTACATCACATTTGAGTAGTTTGTTTTCATACTCTATTTTTTTGTTGTCAGGGCCACCCCGGTGCTCTGTGTGTTTTGTTACAGGTTTTATTGTTCCTATCCTTACGTCAGCATTGTCTGCTGCGTGGTAGCCTGCATGTCTTTCTGTCTGAACAGATAGCCCTCTCTGTTATGAAGTGTGCCCGCTCTGCCCAATAATCTGCTCCCGTTCTTCTCATACCTTAAGAGCTTGAATCCATTATTCGTCCATCTATTGTGGAAAACCACACAGATACCATATCTGATGCATCAACACATAATAAATATATATATATATATATATATAACAATCATGTTGAACAGCTGCATAAACAGTGACTGCTTTTTATTCTGGCTTTTATTATGTTGTTTTTAATTGTTTTTGTTGTTTTGTTTCACCCTTTTTAATTTTGTAGCACTTCGAGTTTTGTTTGCGTAAATGAAAAGTGCGCTTATAAATAAAATATATTATTATTATAAACTAGTTATTTAAGTTGACATAGTGACTCAAACTTGAATGCACACACTCTACTTGATCTCAGCGCGCAGTTAAATACTGTTGTCAACTCTCCTCACCATATGCATTGGCCATTGTTAGGCTTACAGTTATGTATTTTGACATGTAGGTTTCATACAACTGATGCATATCCCCAATGCACATAATATAACTGACATGTCAGCTGCTATCTCATGCATAATGCAAATATTTAATTTGCCCAGCTCACATGAGATTGATTCTCGGGCTAAGGCAAAGATTGATTTAAATGCCAAATTGTGCAGTTAATATAGTACAGGCAAGCTCTCTCTCTCTGGTCACATTTTAAATTCACAGTATTTTGCCGAATGGAATGCTTTGTGTGCTTAATCTGTTTGTCAGAAGTCACGTTCTGGTCTAATATTTCAGTCTGTGCCTCCCACAGCCTGTCAGCCTGCCTTACTATCTTACAATAACACGGCTGATCTTGGACAGAGCCTTAGCTACAACCTCTTTTCATGATACTTGGCTCATATCCACAGTTTTGCAAATCTTGATCCACTATAAATTATAATACTGTTTATAAAGCTGGGCGTGTGCTTTGCTTTTTATGAGCTTAATGCTCCAGTAGAAACTATTGTTGTACCTGTCTCTACTCAAAAAGAAGATCACTCTGCAGCCTAATTACCACACACAGAAGTAGGTCAACAGTGTTCAACACTTCTTTAATCCAAAACCAGAACAGCAAGCAGTTTGTTCCAAAATAGAAGAAAATACATTCCTACTGTCTATCAAACTATGACAACAACGGGATTGAAAATAGTCAATGGTGTACACTCAGTCTTCAGCCTGCAGGGGAGGGCCCATTAGTGGTCATCTGATAGCTCTCAGACAGACCTGCTGATGGAGCCGGAGCATATCCTGGATTAGAGTCTCCATGGCTTTCATAAGTGATGCAATTTAGTTTACATTTGATGATCATAGCAGTGTTGACAGGGCTGTAATTGATCCTAATTGTTTTTAAAGCGAGAGGAAGCATTAGGGCCCCTGTAAAGTCACTCACAGACAGCTGCTGTCCACTTAACTTGTCAACTTGAAAGGTAAAGCAACGGGAATTCTCTTTGTCATTCATTCGTTAGCTTAGCTGGCATGTTTTTACTGTATAAACTGGACTAAAACATTTTTTTAAATCAGTTGTCAACCATGTGAAGAATAAACAAATCACTGTAATCTTGAAAAATTCCAAAGGGAGTTTATAATCAGTTTTTGAATTCTGAAATAGTTATGAAACAAATTCAACTAAGGAAATATACACACATTAGATAAGTCCAAACCTGTTGGATATACAACAAAGCCTAAAAGATCTGTTTCTGATAAATGTACCCTCACAGACTTGGCTGTATTCGGCAAACCTTACTAATGTTGTTTTTAATTTAACAAGAAATTATCTTTAAACGGGTCTAATCCTCATTTATCAGGCATTAACTGTAATGGGATTGGAGGTCTGCTCCCAGAGGTCCAGGGTCTGGGCAGCTCATCCGTCTCTTAGCACCCTTGCATTTGAGTGGATAGACGATCTTAAACCACATTTAGCCTATATTTTAGATTCTCAAAAACGGTCCCATCTAGAGCTACATTTGAATTGTACATGTGTGGCTATTTGGTTAATTGATACACAATGCAGCCTTGCAAATGTGACAGGCGGCGGGATGTGTTTAGACTCAGGGTGTAGCCGGATATGATAGGCTGATACAGTTTGGGAATGTAATGCATCTGTGCTATGAGCAGTAAAAGACATGTCTCATTCTTTGGGAATAAATGTCCCGTCGTTGGTTTGATACGTGCTTTAAGAGGAGAGGCCAGGGCTGCATGGGCGACTCATGGGCTGTATGTTGCTGGGATTTAATGAGGGCTATACTGGTGCTGTGAGTCATATGATGATGATGATGACGGAAGTGCAGCACCCTCACAATTACAGGGTGTTAGGTTGCTATTTAGAATTAAACCACTACCGGCGAGAAGAAACGGCACATTTGTATTATTGATCCAAAGCGGTAAGCGTAGAATTACTTTCTTGGTCGGCTAATTTTAGAATAATTATTTCATCCATCATGTTTGTCTTTGAAGGCTGTTATTAGGGAGAAGTATTTGTCTGCTGTTAGTTTTCCAACTTTTTTGCTCATATGTTGACAGTCTGCCAGCTAAAATAGCATCTACACAAAAACCGACATCAATTCTTAAAGAAAAACCTGGGGTTTCCCCATGCTGTATTGTAGTTAACTCTGTGTCATCCACCACAACCCTGCAGTCAGACCAATCAGAGAGAAAAACCACCAGCCCTTTTTCTCCTTCCTGACTCAGATTGTCTTTGGCCTCATTTCAGTTTCTGTTGAAAGAATTTGTGAATCCTTGGTTAAAATGTCTGCCAGTGTTAAGTGGTCTACCATGTGATGGTACTTCTCTGATTTAAAATAAATACATTACAATTCTTAATGAGCTGATAAATGCTCCACAAGCAATGAGCTAAAACTTGTTTTTATATTGTTATTTAAAGGTCCCATGTCATGGCCATTTCCACTGATCATAATTCCATTGTTGAGGTATACTAAAATAGATTTATATTGTGTAATTTTCCAAACTCACATTGGTTTCTCATACGGCATCCCTGTATAGTATGTGTATTCACTCTCTGTCCTAAACGGCTTGTTGGAGCTCCTGCCCCCCCCCCTCCCTGTGAGCCCAGTGGCCGTCTGCGAGACACAGCGAAACCCAGCCCGAACACACACCCGCAGCCTGGCTGGGAGTTTGTTACGTCACTATACCTGAAATACGTCACTATACCCAAGAAGTAAACAATTGAAAAAGAGAAATCTCCAGCGAGGCGTTCTGGGGCAGCATAGACAGGTCTTTTCTGTGTTAGAGTTTTACTCGCTACAGGGTGTACTTTGAGGGGTTGTGACTCTGCAGACCGTTTACATGCAGAAAAACCTTCATAACACACAAGGGGACGGGTAATAACCAGAAAAGCATGACATGGAACCTTTAATACATGCTTATACAAATATTGATTATGGCCCATAGAGAATGTTGCATACCCTTTCTATTACAAATGCAGTCCATGGGTATATCACTGTAGAAGTGTACACATACATCATTTTAACTTGTGGATAGATTTCTGTAGACGTTTGTCTTTCTGTAGGAGAGTGGAGTTTGAAGGACTGAACTGTCTTAATACAAGTAAACAAGTTGAGAGCACGGGAGCATTGATGAGAGAGAAAAGCAAGTAAGATGAAACTTTGTTTGCTCGTAGTTTAAATGCTGTTTCTTTCTACATCAGAAATAAAAAAAACAATCAAACCATTCAGCACATTGTGGACTTATCAGAAGGGCATTGTGGAGCTTCAGCCTCCTTATCCAACTCTGTAGGTTTCCTTTCATCGATTCATAACGTCCACTCAGGGCTGGTCCCCAAGCGCCATGATTCTAATTATCAGCTGAGAAGCCCAGGGTCTAACCTCATTTTGTCAATCAAATCCCTGCACTCACTTCATTAAACATGGGACTTGATATAAATATACCCCAACTACCCTAAAGTCGCAATATTCAAACTCAGAGTTCACTTGGAAAATCTGATTTTTGCATAGCTTTACATCGACTGAATAGTGAAATCATCACCAGTAGCAGGAACGCTCCCTGTTGTTTAATGTTCACGGTTGTTCAGATGAAGTCGTGACACAAACAGGAAAGAAATGGGACTTTTCCTGTGGTGCTATCGTTCATAAAACTGATTGGTAAAAATAGGCTATGATCAGAGACCACCGTGTTGTCTTGTCTGATAGTCCCCAGTGTAAAATGGATGCAAAGGTGTGGCATGTAGAGGAAGGTCTCCAGAGACAGACTGTTTGAAACAGCCAACAGCAGTTTTACAGGACACAGAGGAAGCTCTAAGTACAGCCTGATAGTGGCAGCAATAAGGGCAAAGGGCAGATTTGTTTATGGTTTTGTGTTATGCCATTTTATAGGCGCCAGCTGGCTAATGTCAAGTAGCACAGTTTTATATTCCTTGTGCTTTCGTCTGATGTCCTGCGACAATAAGCAGATTCCTCATTCGAAGTCTCCTTTCCTTTCTTCCCGGTTGCAGTCAGCAGTAGGAAGGCTCCTCCTCCAGTCCCCCCCCGCACCACATCCAAGCCCCTCATCTCGGTGACGGTGCAGAGCAGCACAGAGTCGGCCCAGGACGTATACCTTGACCATCAGGACCGTGGCAGCGAGGCCAACAGCCAATCAGGACGCAGCAACTCATCTGACAGTCTCTGTAGCATCCGCACGGGCAGTCTGGCAAAGGGGACCCGGCCTCCCCCAGTCCCTGTCCCTGCTGCAGCCCCTGCCCCCGCTGCAGGCTCTGTCCATCCTGTCCCAGCCCCCCGAGACCTCCCTCCTCCCACCACCACCACCAGCAGCAGCAGTGTCGCCACTTCCACCACTTCCACATCTACCCAGTCCCAAAATGACACCCTGAGCTTCGGATTCACCCTACACCAACCGCCGACTGCAACCAAGAGGAAACTGTCCTCTATCGGAATCCAGGTAACAATTGTCTTATTTATATTCAGATACAATCATGCTGGGAGGAGACTAAAGACAGTCCCTGTTCCCCGTCCTACAGCTGACTTTTTCTGTCCATGATTTTTCAGGTGGATTGTGTTCTTCCAGTGTTAAGAGAAGAACCCTTACCCCTGACTGCACCCCTCACCTTTCAGTCTATCGGAGTTCAAGTTGAGAACGGCAGGCCGTAAGTATACACTCATATTTAATGTAACAGTGAATGGTAGCCAGGGGGGATCTGATGGGTGCTCTGAAGATGGATCTATTAGATATGAGAAGACGGGATATTACCCTATGGTAATGCTTTCCCCTAATGGAATCTTTTTATGAGTCTATTGAGATATAATTGGCTTGTGACTTCACATCTTATCTTGAAAAGAGTATTCACTATTTTCTATGCCTCATACAGTACATCACCGTTTTGCATACAAGCCAAACGTGCTGAGCTTAAGCGCCACAACGTATGAACAAGTGGAGTAAATAAAGAAATGTAGTACCCTACAGTTTCCATATGGTAATATAAATCATGTTTGATTGCATTTTAAAGCAGGAAATCTTTTCTAAAGGTACCTTGTTGAGTATTTGACAAGTAGTTCTATGATGCTTTTAACAAGTGGGTCTTTGTTTATGAGCATTTTGGTTACATGACGCACATCCCTGTTAGTTTCATGCTATGCTGCTTATTGACAGGTTGTCAGCGGAGAAAAGGCAGTGAAGAGGACTTAAAGCAAGCAAACATAGATGTGAACGATGCACCGTTTTGAACATGGAAGAGCAAACCTCTTCTTATACATGTTTTTTAGACCTCAAGAATATGTTTGGGTCAGTTACACTGAACAAGCTGAACTGAAAGGTTACAAGAAAGCTCCACTTGGTGCTTTTTATTCTTGTGACAATGATTTCAGCCCGATTGCTCACCCTCAACTTCTTGTCTGTCTGAATGCACTCTAGCTGTTTCCTGCTTTTCGCTCAGGAAGTGCACACACTCACATTGTCATTCTGTCTGGTGCGCGTGTGGCGCGTGAGTCTTCGGTCAGTGCATCAGACTGTTGTCAGGGTTGTTCAGCAGTCAGCCTGGCAGCAGCCCATGGCTCCTTTTACTCTAGTTATGACCATAGTGACCTGAAAAACTGGGCATTTCAACCTTTCCAACGCACTGTCATTTCCCCTCACCCCATTTGGTTGACAGCCTGCTTCCTTTCCTGCTGCTCGTTATCTCTGAAGCCTCGTTGTTGTATACTTGTGCTCTTTTGCAATAGATCCTACTGCACCATCAGCTGCAATAATGTTCTGTCCCTTAAGCACGGTGACCCCAAACTGTTACTGTGGGACATGTTTGACACACACTTCATCATCTTATTTATTTAACTGTCTGTCAGAAGCTGATGTTAATGCCTGTCTCTGCAGTCTCAGCCGGGACAACAGCATGGCGTCCAGACAAAACACAGAGACTGAGCCTCAGGAAACAGAAAACATCACAACCAACGGCACCAACAGTCAAACAGTGAACGCCACCAGACAGGACAAAGCCATGGAGCAGAAGCCCCTCGAACACTCCTCAGCCCCCTCCAGGATATCCAACTCGCCCCCGGAGACTCTGGACCCGGCTTTAGACCCCTCCTCGCTGCCACCGCCTGATCCCAGCCTGGAGACCGGGAACTGTAGCACCCCCGGAGAGGGTGCTCAGCCCGGGACGCCAGCCTGCCTCCGAGACGGGAACTGGTTTATGAAGCTGCTGCAGGCGGAGGCGGGGCGCATGGAGGGCTGGTGTCAACAGATGGAGAAGGAGACCAAAGACAACACGATTTCAGAGGAGGGTAAGTGATAGGGCTGCACGATATTGAAAAAAAACTGACATCGCGATTATTATTTTTTTCCCCTGCGATATATATTGCGTTTTTTTTTTAACTATATTTAACCGGATGAAGGTATTGTCCTCCTCTGCCTCGCTCATTTTTTACCGGTGTTTTGATGGTCTGCAAACTAGCGGGGCGGGGCCTGCTGTGATCTGATCAAGAATGATTGTGATTGGTGGTTTGCTGTGCATGCAGAGCCTGCATGTCACTCACTCAAGTACCCCTGACATGAGAGCCGCGCAAGTTTTCCTTTTGTAGCAAGCAGCATCAGCAGCCCTGCTGCTGTACTGGCTTGTAGTTCGTTTATAGCATAACGTTAGCATTTTGCTTCTGGCGACTAGATTTATGATTCAAAAATTATAAAAGTATGGTTGACATGTGGAGATTAACAAAACGTGATCCCTCTCTTAAATGTGTGTCAACCACAGACCTTATTTCGAGCTATTTTCCAAAATCCTATGGAGAATTTGCATTGGTTTTTGACGAAGGAACCGAAAGAAGTTTACTTCCTGGTTTAAGGACGCGTCACTGCGGCTCTCTATAAGGAGTGAGAGTGACGCGTAGCCAAACCCGGAAGCTGCATACACTCAGGTGGCTACCATTAGCAGCTAACTTTTGTGCTCCGATTTTTACATAAAAATGGAATTATGGATTATAAACAATTGCTTCAAAGCCACAGATACATTATTAACCTATGGATCAACCGATTCAGCCGCCTTTTTTCTCCTTTTAATGCCATTGAACACGTCTTTCGATCAGATTGAAAGCTATGGTGAGACGATCTCCCGTAAAAGCTCCGTAAAGGTACGTGTTTTGATGTCTGTGTTTGCTTCCCCTGTCGCGAGATCGGATCGCTTAGTGATGATTATACTTAAATAATCTGTGGAGTCTCAGCTTTAATCGGATATATTGTATGTGCAGTTTCGATAAGTAATAAGGGTATCTTTATTTTGAATTCTGTGCTAAAGTGCGTTAGCATTTAAAAAAAAAAAAAAGAATAAAACCGCACGTCCCTGCGGTGTGAATATCGCGGTTATCGCCATGACACGATATATCGTTCAGCTCGATTGCTCACCCTCAACTTGCACACACTCACATTGTCATTCTGTCTGGTGCACGTGTGACGGGTGAGTCTTCAGTCAGTGCATCAGACTGTTGTCAGGGTCGTTCAGCAGTCAGCCTGGCAGCAGCCCATGGCTCCTTTTACTCTAGTTATGACCATAGTGACCTGAAAAACTGGGCATTTCAACCTTTCCAACGCACTGTAAGTGATAAAAGTGCATGAAATAACTATTCATTTACTTTGGACCAACTTACACTAGACAATAAACCAGGTACAAATCTGATGATATTTTAGATCTGAAGCTACTTGGTAAATGTGAAAATTAGCCTTCTTAGTGTTCTTAAAAGTATCTTGGATGAAAAGCTTAATCTTAAAAAAGTAGGACACTTCAAGGGCATCTTTCTAGATCAATCGTCACAAAAAGAGACAAAGGAAAGACTTCAAATACACACAACTAAATCAAGTAGAGTTAATAGCTTGTCATTGTGTAACTTAAAGAATGAAATTGATGTCGTTGTTAGTAGGCTCCACAGACAGAGGAATAGGGCTTGTCTGTGTTTACCATGAACAATGAGACAGTCATTACTGCCATCAGCTCACAGAAACAGAACACGCTCATTTCAGGGCAGTGCACTTTGTTTTGGCTGCAACAGAGCAACCGCCTTCATTTCACTTTTTCATCTCCCAGAATACCACTCAGGCTTTTAGGCAGATCTATCGCTGCATTGACTTAAATATGAATGAGCACGCAGCACACTAGATTCAGAGGCTCCATCAGTCCTTCTGCTCTCTGTGGACCTGAATTATGAATTGAAACAAAACAGGATACTCATTTGTAATATCCTTAAGATGTGCTTAGTGTATTACTTGTCAGGAAATCGCAGTATGTTAAGTGCTAAATGTCAAGATAAATGCTAGATACAAGTATAACATCATAGTAACCCTCCACTTTGCCCCAATGGTGCTACCTAACCCTTTCATGTTCTCTCAATCAGGACAGCTGCCTTTTCACCTCCTTGTTGTAGTTTTATGTATCCTAAAGCTCCAAATGTTTCTGTTCTCTAAAGACTTGCTGATTGTATTCTATGTTTCTCTCTCTTAGTGTTGGGGACGGTCCGCAGTGCAGTAGGCAGCGCTCAGCTCCTCATCACAAAGAAGTTTGAGCAGTTCAGAGGACTTTGTAATGAGAACTTGGTGAGTGGCTTCATTACATCCTATTGAGTGTCTCTCTTGATACACTCCTCTACTTACCAGATGTTTTTATTGGCTTCTCAATCTCCGACTGACCTGCTTCCTACAAACTCGTCATGTACACACTGACATGCAGAAGTCTTCCAATTACATTCAGAGATGAAACGATCCTTCCTGGCATGAAATATGAAACCCTGGAGGATATTCAGGTTTACTGTGAGAATGTTCTGTTGACTTTATTGTCCCGCCGTTCCAAGTCCAATCCTATTGAAATGTAGAAAGTTGATTGGTGTCAAATGTCATTTTACTCTTCATCCATTTGCTTGAAGGAGCTGCCTAGGAAATATGTGTGACAGGAGGAATATGATTATTGCTCTCTGATTTGATCAAAGTCATTTACTTCTCGTTTCCCTCTCACTAGGACGTTAATGCCAACCCACGACCAACAGCGCAGGACCTCGCAGGGTTCTGGGATCTGCTACAACTCTCAATAGAGGACATCAGCATGAAGTTTGACGAGCTCTACCAACTGAAAGCCAACAACTGGCAACTTCCTGAAAAAGCAGAGAAGAAGGTGAAGTTTGGTGTAGGGCGATTATGATCAACTTGAGTTTTTAGATACAAAACTCAAGTACCTTTTTTTTTTTTTTTTTTAATTCGTCAGTCAACCAAAAGTGTATCTGCATCTATTTTGATGAGGAATTGTTTAAATGATCAAGTGAAAGTGCCAAACGTTTGCTGGTGTCGGCTTTACCAAAGCGAATATTTTCTCTTAATATCATGTAAATTAGGTACATTTTGGTTTTTGGAGTATTGGTTTGATAAAAAAAAACTTAGAATTTGTTAATTTTGGTATGGAAGATTAATATGACCCTTTTTACATGTCTCTATTGACAGAGCTACCTGTTGGTTAGTCACTATGGCATGCTAAATGACTAACAAATGAGTGTTCATCACCAGGTTGTGTTCCCAGCTGGTACCACACCGTACCTTATTCCTTTTTCTTCTTGACATGATTTCCTCAGGACGAAAACAAGCAGCTTCCATCATCTGTGCCAAAGAAGCAGACTAAGCCCAAGCTGTCGGCAGGGAAGGACAGAAGCGTGGACTCGGCCGTGGACAAACAGCGGCAAGAAGCCAGGAAACGCTTGATGGCGGCAAAGCGCGCGGCGTCAGTACGACAGAACTCGGCCACGGAAAGCGCCGACAGCATCGAAATTTACGTTCCCGAGGCCCAAACCCGCCTCTGAGAGCGAACCAGCACAGACCATCGAGAAAAAAAAAAAAAAATCCAGACTCACTTCACACATTCATTGACACAAAACACACACGGAGACAAACACACACACACACAGATGCACAGAGGCCGATCCCTCACAGCAGCTGACGGCGGGAGAAATGTGGCGATCACACACCGAAAACAATCCAGAATATTGCAGACTATCCCCCCCCCTGCTGCCATGGGACAGAAATAACCATGACACATGTTTAATACTATTGTTATTATTGACATTATAATAATTATTATCTCCTTAAGTATATCAGGACTGTCTTAAATGTGCAAGTATCTTGGATAAGGACATCCTGTACCACGTGAGCTGAAGAATCTTGGTATCCCAGAAGTTTACTCTCTCTCTCTTAAATATCCCTTCACTGCTGAGTCTACCGGCAACTTGTGGCTGCCTGGTGGTCGAGCGGAGCTACCATACACACACACTCAGGACACACATGCAGGTGTACTCACTGTCCACAGAGTCTTCCTGTTCTCTATTTGTATTAGGCTGCTACTCGTCGGGTGTGCTGTGTACGCGTTACTGCGTACCAATCAAAAGGAGGGGTTGGAGGTTTAACAAATGCAGAGAACCAGAGGAAGGCAGTAGCATATATATTATAAATATCACACTATTACAATGTTCATTTTGTAAATGTTGTATACCAGATTATTTGTTAGAAAGAGGTCAGTGTTCAGTACCACGGTAGTTTTTTATAGATCGAGTACATGTAATTTCATGATATATTAGCACTCCACCTCTCTTTCTCTCTTCCTCTCCTCATCACAAACGCACACTCCACAGTCTGTGTCTGTGAATAGCCATCGTTAAAGTCTTACATTTGTTTTTGTTTTTGTTGTGAAGGCACGTGAGGAATGACTGCCCTGCCAGTGAGCTACAGGAGGAATGTATGAGGTTGTATGCATTTACAGCTCATGTTGACTTGATCACTGCACTTTTCCATTCACCTCAGATCGAGTTTGCTCACCTTCGTTTGCCTGATTATTCTGAGTTTCACTGCATCCTCACGCGATGTAGGGGACCAAGACATTCACCACTTGTTATGGCATTCCCATTCAACAGCACTGCGTGTGATAGGGTGGGAGTTTACTTGCCACTGGAAAGGAAATGGATCAGCATAGCAATAATAAAATCGCTTCGGATCGGGCACCGCAGTAGATACAAGTTTTAAATTATTTAATTCAACATTTCCAATACAAGTTTATCATGAAGGATGAATGTTTATTTCTTTTATGAACTGACTGCCCTTGAAACAAATCTCAGGTTGAACACAAACTTGACAGTAAAAACCACTATGGATGGATTATTTATTATATAACCACAAATTAACTGGCCAAATGCTTAGAGACATTGACAAGTAATTGAAATCCAAATCGTTTTCTTCAGTAAGAAAAATAAGGTTTGGCGCAGTCACGTGCGTTCTTAATGGGCCGTCTCCTTCGCTGCCCTTTCTAGCAGCTTGAACTCCCACCCCTCTTTGGCGAGAATGAACTGTGGTACATATTTTTTTAATTTAAATGTTAAAGTAATTTGAAATGTTGTTGACTTTCATCCGAAATGAAGTCGACCTAAACACGTCATGACTTCTGTTCTTATAATAATTAATGGTGCTGCAAGGGAATCCATAAAGTGCCAAGAAGGCAACGATCATCTGCATTTCAGTGTCATTTGATGAAGCTTTTTATTTAAAGTGATTTCTTTTCATTTAAGTTCATCATGAATTCAGCGGTGTGTCTGTGTGCGCATTCTCAGCCAAGTTTGCTTGTGTTTGCATCAGCTCACTCCGGAAATGCTATGCCTTGTCTTTGTCTCAGATCATGAGTATTGGACTGGATTATTCCACGTTTAGTTTTTCCCAAATGGAAACAAAAGTGCCAAATGGTACATGAGTGGAACTGGGCATAGCAGATACTCATGCAGTGTAGTTTCACTCACTAGTTTTAGTTTTTGTCTGCAAGAGCTGGCTCTCCCCCTACTGGTCAGTCCTTGCGTGAAACTCCAGACATCTTGTTTTGCTCCATTTTGAATCTTTTAGTTGACATCACATAAGAAAATGAGGTTGAACTGGGAATGCTGACACAACACCAAGTTGATGATTTTCTTATTCTCTTGTTTGTAATACATCAACAATGGACATGTACATTTCATTGTCCAAAGAAATCATTAAACATCCCTTTGCTACATGTCCTGGTCATCATTCTTGCTGTTTTTTTTAAATTATTGCACTCATCCATAATACAGCAGTAATATTAGCTTTAAGTTAATATTACACACGAAGAAATCATAAGCATTAGATTAGACATTTTATTGTTACTGTGTAATCTCTAAAAGCATAGCCTTCTTACATAATACAAATATACAAAGGTCCTTGCCAGTGAGTTTTTTAGCACTCCCTGAAATGGGTCTCGCAAATGATCTGAAGCTATTCAATCTGTGTGAGGCATTCAGGGTATGTTCTGTATGTGAGAATTTATAACTGTGACTGACAAATGGTGGAAAGACCTCTCCCTTTTTCATATCATTTGAGAGCCGGATCCCTTTATTTGCCCACACACTGAACTTTAAGAGAGTATCAGGGATCTCCAGACAGTTTGTTTACCACTACTTCCTGAGTTTCAAAGGGCTACCAAATGGACAGAAGGTGCATCTCTGGAGGCAGATCATGTGGATGTGCTACTCAACCATCATGTGGACGAGGCAATACTCTCTGGTTAAGTATCTAGGAATATCTTTGAGATAAGTCATTGTGTTTTCTTGATGGACTGAGAGTTTAAAGCCCATTCTGACTTTAGTCCCCGCCCTCTCGCCATCTGTCCTCTCAGAGATCCAGCTAGGAATAATGAGCAAAAACGATGTAGTTCCAGTTTATCTTGTACTGACGAACATCATTTTACAAAATAAGCACATATCTTACAGACGAAGGGTTGTTTAATGTGATGGTGTATTAGTTAGACACTGTGAGGATAGTTTCTTTTCAGCTAATAAAAAAAATGTGAATAAAATGAGTAACATGGCATTTCCTGTATGACATAAGATGTAGAATTAATGAGGAATGCCACTGAATTTCAAATGCATGTATGTTTTTCTCCTGGTATATGTTTCAACAGAATTACCTCAATTCCTTTAATTGATGTGTTTGCATCTGAAGCAGAACATAGTGTCCAGAAACCTCTCTTTGTGATCCTAAAGCCGCTTTTTGCTTCTTTATTTTGTGCTCAGTTGTTGTCATTGTTTTATCATTTAAAATAAAACAAGGGTTAGCAAAACACCTTTATTTGGTCCACCTTAGTATGTGGTCATCAAGTAATACTTTTCCTAGCGATAACGATACAAATACATAGAAACATGCACTATGTAAACAAAAAGCCAATGTGGGAAACACTGTTAAAGTGAACTCAGTACCTCAAGGTTGTACTTAAGTGCAGTACTTGAGAACATGTACTCAGTTACATTCCAGCCCTGCATGCACAGACAAGGTTCATGACTCTTTTTTTTCGTAGTTTGGTGTGAAATATCTTGACTGCACATCAACCACCACACGTTCAGATGAATTAGAACAATGAATCCCAGCCAGGCCTTATTTCCAGCTTCAATGTCCAACCCCAGTAAAGCTTTTATAGATGAATCATGAATGGGAGCAAAATTCCTGCAGTCAGGGTCCAAAATGTAATACACAGCCTTCCCAGTAGTGTGCAATCTGTAATAGCAGCAATTAATGCCCATGGGTTTGGAATTAAATATGTAATAATCACACAGGGGTGTAATGCATATCATTTTAAGAACCTGATTGTAACAAATAAATGAACACTTATCCCTCACTAACACTCCCTCAAGCATCCGTCATGGTGATTAGATTACACATTGATACTCAGCAGCATCCCATAATGGTGGAGGGTTTTGCTCCATGAATTAAAGAGATACTAATTAAAACATTGTCATATAGGTAGTTGGATTGGATGTGAAGATTGCATTTTAATAGACTTACACTATGAATAATATAACATTAACTTTCTAAATGTTGTGGTATTCTCCTTTAATGAACATGCGAGGGGTAGGAGATTGTCTCGCAACACGCGTATTTGCTTGCGTCATAACCATTGACAACAGCAGGGTTCTTGTTGAATGAACGAAAAAACGCGTCAAGATCATGGTCAAGATAGCGGAATTTAACCAGAACAAGACTGATTTCAAAATAAAATCACAAAACTGACATTAAATAATCTGTTGCAATCTGGATGGACCCAGCCATAATCAAGGAGCACTGCAGCCGGTTATATTAATATATCATTCACAAAATAAACAATGATTTGGGTTATTTATAAATCGATCAAAATGTAAACAGTTATTGAAACAATCTTTTACAGAACCAGAAATTTTGAAAACGTCACCACAGGTTATAATATGTTAACATTAAAACAAAAAAAACTCTGAGTGGTACTTTAATGTTTTATATTTTGGACCAAATTCATGTTTTTTTGTTATCCAAAAAGAGATGCTAGCTTTACACATCGGAATTCCGAGATTTTATTTTGGAAATCCCAACCGGAAGCTGCTGGTTTGACACTGAGGAGGCGGAGCTTCAACATCCGAGAAGAAGGAGTCCTCCCCGGCAGTGCTGAGCTAACTGATGGCAGCATTGTTACAAAGGTAATAAGCAGGTATTAACAGCTCCTGCAGATTTCTGGTAAGTTAAAACAATTATACTTGTTCATACGTTTTCATCCCCGCTTTGTTTCAAGGCTTTTTTGTCTATTGAAACAACGTAAAAGCAGAAGTGATTGATAGTATACGTCAGGTACAGTACCCCAATGCTCTGCTGTATGAGACATTATGACACAGTGGTGCAATTTCTCCGATTAATTATTCAATTAGATTAGTTATTGTGGCTTTTGCACTAACCTAGCTTCTGTCATAATACCTCTGATAGTATATTGGACATGAGCAATGGTGGAAAAAGTATTCAGATGATTTACTTGGGTAAAAGTACTAATACCACCCTGGTAAAATACTACATTTCGAGAATGGTACCTAAGTAAAGTATTGATGTAGGATTAGGTAAATATACTTTACATTTTTAATATATTCTTTTAAAGCAAAATTGCTTCCAATACATTTTCTGTTAACCCACTCATGGTTTTAGTTACTTACATGTTGGATGGTGTAATAACCAAATAAATCATATTTTAAAGTATTACAAATCTGAATTTATAAAGTAACCAGTAAATAAATGTAGTGGAGTAAAAAGTACAATATTTGCCTCCAAAATGTAGTAGAGTAAAAGTATAAAGTAGTGTAAAATAAAATACTTAGCAAAAGTACAAGTACCTCAAATATCTTCTTGTGTACATTACTACATATACTTAGTTACTTTTCACCACTATGTGCAAGTCAGCAATGAGTTTAGATGCTACAACTAACTGAATAGTTAATGAAAAATAATGGCAAACAATTCTGACAGATCATCAACTATTACAGATTAGAATAATTCACTAGTTTAAACTTGTCCATTTTGGATATTTACTGGATTTTGGTGTCATTTAGGGTGTTGAACTAAATATTAGAGTATTGGATATTTAAAAGATATTTAAACATGACAACATTGGTTTGGGAAATAGTTATGGAAATTTTCTCCAGTATTTTCTGATTTATGGATCAAATTGTTAATCATTTTGTCGACCAAAAAAATAGGTAATGAACATAATATTTGGTTGCCTCCCTAAAACAAGAGAGAGTATACAATCTGAAAGGGATGAACTTGTCTTGTCTGTATCTCAACAAATATAATTATTAAGTAATTATTTAATCACTGGTGAGGTTTAAATTAGTTTATAAAATAGCCTGATACTTCACCTCCAATATTAATTCCCTTGCCCTTTTTCCTCCAAGGATCTCTTTCTGTTAGTCTCAAGCATCCTTAAATATATAACAGCATTATTACCTAAATTAGATTTGATCATCTGTTATCAATTCACTGTATTGTATGCACACTTTGGCCTGCTGTCTCATCAGGCAGTGTTTGTTATGATACAGCAAAACCTTGTCCTCCACAGAGAGATGCTGACCTCATCCTAACAGGGACCAGATCAGCTGATGCAGGACGGCCGGACACAAATCAGAGCGATCATGGCGGGCCGGCAGCAGAGAGCTGCAGCGGCTGCAGACGGCTCCTCGGAAGCCAGGAGGACGGACATCAGGGCCACTGAGAAGAAGTGCTGTGAGTGGTTTATTTGTCCTCGTTTTCTGAGGCTGTAACCTGATCTGTAGTTATTATTGACCTTTATGTACCTGCACTATTGCATTATTTAATATAATGCAGAAGCAGTGTGCTGTAAATTGTGAACTTGTTTTTTTTTTTATCACATTTCCTGCTCAACGGGAACTTGGTCACGGGTAAATAGAGGTGATAAGGTTTCAGCAGCCACTGATTGTTAAATGTCAGCTTTGACGCACCTTCTGTAGTCATCAGTATGAGAGCAGTGTACTGTACAGGTACTGCAATGCACAATGAAGCAAAGAAACACAGCAAGAAGCAAGGTCAGCACTGTGAGTTATGTGAAATCAATGAAATGTGTTTTATTTCCAGTAAGTGTTTGAGGATTATTTATACAGGAAGGTGAAATGATTTGAACCAAGATGTGTTTATAACAAACCTTTCCTGCTCTGCTCCAAGCTGCAGACATCTGTGTATACAATCTCCAGTCAAGTCTTGTCTTGCCAAGTTTATGCTTTTTCTGGGCTGAGCAATGGTCATGGTTAGGGACACTGAAAGTAAAAGTAACGAGACAATGTGTTGACATATTTTCCCTTCGATGTCCTAGCCAAAGATCCTGCAGGTATTGGGAAACATTAAGTCGTTAGAAGACAGTCACAAGACGGAAAAGTTCAACTAAACGTTAACTAGCTGGTAGATGAACAATGCAGGGGTGACATTGGATTATTTCACAACCCTCCCTCTGCTTCCTGTCAGTAAACAGTAGGCATATCTGCCCCTTTTTATAACATGAATTACATCTTTTAGGGGCAGGTTTGAAGTAGGGCTGAACGATTAATCGATTTTGAATCGAAATCGCGATTTGAAATGATGCAAACAAATCGCAAAGCCTGTGATTTTTTTCTTTTCTTGTTGTGTGTCAGTCATCCACACCAATCAGAAGTGCTGTGCTCCACATGTACCAGCCATTGTTATCCAATCAGAAGTGGCCCATGATAGTAGGTGATAGACAGATTGATCCAATCACCTGCCAAGTATTTTTGAAATACTTTTCCAAATGGCTTCCAATGGAGCTTTCCTAGATGGTTTGGTGAAACAAACCATCTGAGTCAGGTTAGTAATGCTCCATCACATGTGTTACATCTATGACAGGGTGAATCTTAAACTGAAGCTTGACTTTAAAGCAACCCAACGGAAGTTTCATGTAAGTTTAGTTCTTTCACTCGTAGCTCGGGCTGCGGGGGTGCTAGAGACGGGAGCACGTTGATACGACCTTCCTAGCCGGAGATATGGCCGCATTTTACAATAAACTTCCGTTGGGTCGCTTAAAAACAAATATCGCAAATCGCAATTAGATTATTTCCCCAACTCGTGCAGCCCTAGTTTAAAGTGAAAATAAAGGTAATTGTTAAACACAATAAATCCTTGCATGCCTAATAATTAACAGTTTTTTGTGTGTGTGTGTGTCTGAATGTTTCTTGTGTGTGCAGCCTGGGCCTCCTACATGACCAATTCTCCGACTGTGATAGTGATGATTGGGTTGCCCGCGAGAGGGAAAACCTACATGGGTAAGAAGCTGACGCGCTACCTCAACTGGATCGGAGTGCCAACTAAGGGTCAGTACAGAAGCAATAAATGTTTTATTTTATTCATGTTGTAACATTTGATCCGTCCACAAGAAATACAACCAATAAAAACAGATGAGGCTTGGATTCAAAGGCCCTGTAATCGCTGTAAATGATCAAAAGAACTGTACATGGAAAGATGTGTTCAGGGCAAACATGTATCTGCAGGGACAGATTACCCCAAAATCTAAAATACATCTTTATCTCTTACTCGTAGTGCTTTTTATAAATCTAGATTGTTTACAGACAAAACAGTTCACATGAAACCGCTCAGAGCAACTGCGTCATGGTTTCTAAAAAGAGACCGTTTTTTTTAATGTATTTTGGCGAGCACTACAAGCGAGTGTCATCTAGTTAAATGACATATGGCAGACATCTCTACGGCCAAGATCTCAAACACTCAGCAACTCACACCAAAATCATATAGATTGATAAAAGCAGAGAAAGAACGTACAGAATATCTTTCTCTGGTGAACTGTCCCTTTAAATGACGTTGTCCCTTTTTATGGAACTGTAATGGCATTCAGTGATAATACTTATCTGAACATCTGGTGCTTAGGGCAACGCTGTGTTAATACGTGGTTGTGTTTATCCCACCAGCCCCTATCAACAGGCGGTGTTTATAGTGCTCTGATGTTTTCACATGAATGGAATGCAGCTGAACTGGTCTGAGTCTTTTGAGACGAGGGGCCACCGCCAGGACACCGTAATCTTGTCCGTGCCTTAAACGTCTGTCTTTCTCTCTCTGTTTGTGTTCCCTTACAGTATTTAACCTTGGGGTTTATAGGAGAGAAGCAGTGCAGTCATACAAGTCCTTTGACTTCTTCAGACATGACAACAAAGAAGCAATGGAAATCAGAAAGTGAGTTTCTCCTTGTGGTGACATTCTTCCGTGTAGTACAATGACTCGACTTTCCCACATGTGTCCCTCTGCGTGTTTAACCGCGTTGCTACGCCCAATGAAAACACCAGATTGCTTTGACATTTAAATGCCTCTGTAGACTGCACAGTGTTTGCTTAACAAATGGAGCTACACTTATTCAATTCAATAAAGAATGTCCCTGAATGTATTACTGCACATCATGTCTTTTAGGAAACTTTTAAAGCTAATCTGATTTCCTGGTCAATTTTCTCATTATGTCTCCACAGACAGTGTGCTCTGGTGGCACTGGAGGATGTGAAGGCCTATCTGAATGAGGAAGGAGGCCAGATCGCTGTAAGGACACAGTGCAGCTGAATATACTGGTAATGATATTGATTGTAACTGGATTTGGTCTGAATATGTTTTGCTATCTGTCAGGTTTTTGACGCCACCAACACCACCAGAGAGAGGAGGGATCTCATCCTCAATTTTGCAAAGGATAATTCATACAAGGTCGGTTACATTGATTATTAAATCATTTGTATATTTCCCATTAAATTCTGAATTTCTAATGCTTAGCGTCTTTTGTTAGGTGTTTTTTGTTGAATCAATATGTGACGATCCAGATGTCATCGCCACTAATATCCTGGTAAATGATGCTTTTCAAACTATTGGCACATTTTGCCCTTGAGTTGTTGGACGTCATGGTGAATCGTCTTTACAAATGTCTCTTTTTATAACAAAGGATGTGAAGGTTTCCAGCCCCGATTACCCTGAGAGAGACAGAGAGAGTGTGATGGAGGATTTTCTGAAGAGGATAGAGTGTTATAAAGTGACGTACAAACCTTTAGATCCGGACGAACACGACAAGTAAGAAGACATTTTGTTAAAGGTGCTAGGAGTTGGATTTATTTTCTGCCATTGATTTTGTTGAATACTTCTCAACAATAAGCATCCTTTAGAGCTAACTGTCCTTAATCATTTATTTATGTTGGCCCTGTAGATTATCTTGGCATATATTTGGTCGAACATGTGCTTGCAGAAACTGTCCAGCAGGGGGAGACAGAAGCTCATTTGTGATCGAAAATGTTTACTGTCTGCTCTTCTATTGGTATTTGATTTATGGAGCTGTAACACCATAAATGCAGTAGTAGTAGTAGTAATAATAATAATTAGTCATTAATTAAGATCACATGGCTCCATTAAAAACAGATAACTGGTGATATTTTAAATTTCAAAATGATAAAAAAACTGAAATACTTTATTGATCCTTTGGGGAAATTGGTTTACTTAACATTTGCTCCTATGCTCCACTAAATATATAAATCTATACAAACCAAGAAATAATCAGAGCGTTTACAAAAGTGAACATATGTGCGTTATACTACAAGACACCATACATATGTATATCAACAACAGATATGTAGATATAGAAATTGTAAAATAAAGTTAGAATATTTAGAGTTATTTTATTATGTGTGTTTATAAAAATAAAATTACGTAACTAACAATATGCACACATTCTTGTATCTTTGTTTGTAGAGATCAGTTGTTGATCTTCTTGAACCTTGTCGCTGTTATTGACACAGAATGTTCTGAAGCGTGTGATAAATGAAATATCAGGAGATTAAGACTCCACCCAGAGTACAAGATGTCCCTTCCCTTGAGCCTCTTCTCAGAGTCTTCAGTTACAGATTGTATTAACCCTCTTTTTCTTTCCTCCCGCAGGAACCGCTCCTTCATCCAGGTCATCAATGTGGGCCGTAGTTTCCTGGTCAACAGGGTGCAGGACTACATCCAGAGTAAAATAGTTTACTACCTCATGAACATCCACGTGCACTCCCACTCCATCTACCTGTGTCGGCACGGAGAGAGCCATCACAACGTGGAGGGACGCATCGGGGGGGATGCTGAGCTGTCAGAGAGAGGGAAGGAGGTGCTAACAAACCCTCACTCTTACATTTATAAACTCAATAAACATAGCAGCTTCTACAGGAAGTGTTTTGCATATGGGGATTTCTTTTTATAACACTTCCTTTCTGTCCTAGTTACAGTTTAGCCTAGTTTGGCATAAAACAAGTAGGAACTGCTAGCCTGGCTATTCTTTTTTCTTTTTGAAAGTTTATTTTAAAAACTTTTTAAACGGAAGATTGTGTGTTAATTGGCAGACCGTTTTTTTGCTAAATTAAGCTAGCTGGCTTTATCTAACAAAAGATTAAGGGGTTATTATGGGGAGAAATACTTGACTCTATCCACTGTATAGGTTCTCTTATGTGTTTTAGATGTCAGTTCTTTATCATCAACACTTGGTTGATATTTCTTTCTTCAGTTTTCAGCAGCACTGAAGGGTTTTGTGGAGGAGCACCGTCTGTCCGACCTGAAGGTTTGGACGAGTCAGCTGAGACGCACCATCCAGACGGCCGAGGAGCTGGGAGTGCCCTACGAGCAGTGGAAGATCCTCAATGAGATAGATGCTGTACGTGCTCTGATGTGAAACTCAAGATACAGATGATTACATTTAACTTTACTGTGTATCAGACTTGCACCCGTCCATCTTGGAAGCTTAGGCAAATACTGAAATCACCATTTAAAAACGTGTTCTTCTTTTTCCTTTCCTATAAATGCACCAAAAGTAGGCTGCGTAGAGAAGCTAGCTGTTTTAACGTCATCTGTACACATGTTACATTTGTTTTTTTGCAAATCTGGTTTTGGACAAACTGTGCTGGTGTGTGTTTAAGTGTTATTGTTACTTTGTGTTTCAGGGAGTGTGTGAAGAAATGTCCTATGAAATGATTGAGGAAACGTACCCAGAGGAGTTCGCCATGAGGGATCAGGACAAGTACCATTACCGCTACCCTGGAGGAGAAGTAAGAGACTGGAAAATGANATTAAACCCTCCAACAGGAAGTTATTAAACCATCTAACAGGAAGTTATTAAACCCTCCAACAGGAAGTTATTAAACCCTCCAACAGGAAGTTATTAAACCCTCTAACAGGAAGTTATTAAACCATCTAACAGGAAGTTAGTAAACCCTCCAACAGGAAGTAATTAAACCCTCCAACAGGAAGTTATTAAACCCTCAAACAGGAAGTTATTAAACCCTCTAACAGGAAGTCAAAACAATCCTCCAAAAATAAGTTATGAAACCCTCCAACAGGAAGTGAGGAAACCCCATAACAGGAAGTCATCAAACCCTACAACATGAAGTAATTAACGCATCAAACAGGAAGTTATTACCCTCAAATAGGAAACCCCTCCAACAGGAAGTTATTAAACCTTCTCCAGGATGTCTGCATTGGTCCTTTTTTCTTGCTTCAAATAAACCTGTATCTAGTCTAGAAACCGTAGACATGTTTCTTTCATTGTAAAGATTTGTATATTCATGCAGCAGAGAAAAGGTTCACAAGAATTAAAAGAACATTTTAGTTAAAACATTGATACCAAAAGTTACGACAGTTCCTGTGTCTGCAGGAGAAGAAGGAGAAGCTGTGTTTCCACCCTTCACCTTAATGAAAAAACAACATTCGGCTGAGAGTGTGACTAGCCTACTACAGTTTACTTCGTCTTGCAGTAGGAGTGTGTAGGGTTCAGTTTGGAATTGGGCCACACCAGATGCTTCTCACACACTCAATCCAACAACCAATCACTTCACTTATGGACAAGCTGAAAGTGATTCAACCGAGCAGCAGGGAAAAGATTCAGGTGGAGGAGAGTGAAAGCTAGTGTGTGTATGTGTGGAACAAAGGGAACATACCGGTATAAGAAACTTCTTGATCTCCTCCAGAGCGTGACCCATCCTGGCGTAGGCCTCGGCGGGGGGGGCGAACACCTCGATGAGGACGTGCAGGTCTTCGTTCAGATGGTTATATTTGCCTTCGTTGCTTTGCCGTAGCTCTTCTTCCTGGAAAACAACAGTTTCATATATCAGCTGTCTAGGGAAGCAACCTGTCACAGTCAGCAACATTTATCTTATTTGTTGTGTTTCGCAAAAAAAGATTTACTGCAGAGTGTGTTACGTAATGAGGTTTGATGCTGGAAAGTTACAAAAAAAGACAGACAGGAAATATGTATGTGGGTTATTGTAAACGTACGAGTCAGCAAACGGACGATCCTGACAATTCTTTCCACTGCAGCTGTCTGGGTTAACAGCTTTTGTTTTCACACAGCTGTCCGTCCTCGTTATATAAAGTATGTGCTTTCATGAAGTTGATCAGAATATATCTGCTCTGCTTTTTTGATCTCATTCTGTTCAAATAAAATTAGTAACTTTGGCTAGGAAGGATTAACTAAACAATGGTTTAAGAGGAAATTAATGAAGGTCATTGAAGATTAAACTGGACTCATTTTGTCTATAACATAACATGCCAGAAAATAGTGAATATGTTGGTCCCAGTTTTTAAGTCAACGGTAATATCCTAATAACGTTTTGTGTGGTCGACCCAAAACCCAAAGATATTCACTTAACCCTCCTGTTATCCTCAGATTGACTTTACACCCTTTATCCTCTGGGGTCAAGACAATGATCATATTCCAAATTGTAACCAACATGTATGTCTCTGGTGCTTTAGGTATCTTAGTTGACTACCTAAATAAGCATTTAAATAAAAACATTACCCCAACCTTCCCCCCCCACAGACCCCATTTATACATCCAGAATTCCTATTATGTGACTATCGAAAAATATATAAATCACCATAAAATCTCACTGACTGAAATAAAATGTTAAAGTAAGATCTTTTTGATATTGTTAACGAACCAATAACTAAAGCAGAGGGTAGTTTTTTTTACAATGATACATTTGCATGTAATTGCCACCTCAATATCATCCTAAACAATCAACACAAATATGTGTAAAATATTGACATTTTTATACAACTAAAACAGCCTGGGGTGGGGAACACCGATGCGTACAAAGTGCGTACAGGACATTTAAAAAATATCTTCATGTTCATTTTATGTCTACCCAAGTCCTCACTAAATTAGGAAAAGTCATGAAATACTAAGTAAAAAAAATAATGTGAACCATTTTTTTAGATACGTTAAACATTGAATGGGGTCACACTGACCCCAAGGATAACAGGAGGGTTAACGTCATCTGTACACATGTTACATTTGTTTTTTTGCAAATCTGGTTTTGGACAAACTGTGCTGGTGTGTGTTTTAAGTGTTATTGTTACTTTGTGTTTCAGGGAGTGTGTGAAGAAATGTCCTATGAAATGATTGAGGAAACGTACCCAGAGGAGTTCGCCATGAGGGATCAGGACAAGTACCATTACCGCTACCCTGGAGGAGAAGTAAGAGACTGGAAAATGATTTTTCTGCAAACACTTGAAATAATAGAACTAAAACTAAATTAGATTGATATCCCTTTCTCTCTAGTCCTACCAGGATCTGGTTCAGCGGCTGGAGCCCGTCATCATGGAGCTGGAGCGGCAGGGCAACGTGCTCGTCATCTGTCATCAGGCCGTCATGAGATGCCTGCTCGCTTACTTCTTGGACAAAAGTGCAGGTAACACGCACAGAAACATGAAACACGCCCAGGCAAAGCCTCACAGTAAAGAAGCCGTTGATATATCTTAAAGCTATATTTGACTGCTTCCCCCGAGTCACTTTTTTTCAGCTAGTCTAAATGTATCTAAAAAGGAACATTTAATAGCATGAATGTGTCAAAACCTTAATGAGACCAAAAGTATCTGCATGCTTGATTCAAAGCTAACTTTAAACTATTCAGTTAGCTTTACAGTGAAGACAATTCTCAGTGCAGCTTTAATGGATGAGTAGGACTTCATTTTGACAAAACATGTTTAAAAGGCTTTATTTGTTGCTGTCTGAAAAGACTTGCAACGCAGCATTTTTGTGACCTTCAAATCTGACATGCGTTACTTTTCTGATGATACAAGTAGCAGGAAAATAAAGTAAGAGCTTCAACTGAATGGAGGGAGATTTAAATTCTGTAAAAAAGGCCACACTTGAAAACAATATTTGATGGAGCAAAGTCATTGCTGCAAATGGTTTTTGCCAAATTTGACAGGGTAGAAGGGAAACAAATATTCAATCTGGGGAAATAAAGTTTTTTGATGCCATCCCAGGAGGTCTCTAAGGCAGAACTGATCAAATACGATTCGTCTCGATTGAATTTTTTTTTTTTACCACAAATAGTGGTGTTAACAGATAAATCAAGCTTTGAACTTTACACTAAAAAAGAGGCAAGCACACATTCAAACAATAACAAATGGGTATGCCATGGTCAAAAATAACTAGCAGTATTCAATCATCTTCCATATTTACATAATTTTGTCTGGATTTAATTACTATAAATTAAATGTACGGAAATTGTCTCAAAGTGAAAAATAAGAATGCTGAAGAACAACTGGCTGGTCAGAAAGGAAAATGCTGCTTTAAATCAAATCCAAAAATAGGTACGGGCAGACATTGTGTCAGTCAGCAGAGGATGTGGTCAGGCTGCGGCTCTGTGTCTCACCCACAGTTTGATGACTGCAGAAACCAAACTATGGGTGCTGCTCTGACTGCACTTCATCCCACTGCACCCTCACATATGTGACATGCAGCCTCAATGTTCTGTCTAACCTGAGAGGGGAACCCTAAACATGACTGGGTATAAAACCTGCCAAAAACATGTTTTTCTTCTTTTTGTTGGCACAGATGATCTTCCCTACTTGAAGTGTCCCCTGCACACTGTTCTGAAACTCACCCCTGTGGCTTATGGTAAGTCTCTGCACTGTTCAAAACTCAGCTCATTTATTCTCATATATTCAGCATACCATAATAACCTAGTGAGGCTGCCCAACAACATCATCTCGGACCCAAACCATGTTCTGAACTGCCAATATGAACTGCTACCATCTAATTAGAGATACAACTTCCCGCGATTCAATAAAGTCAGACTAAAGCACCCCTTTCTGCTCCAGTCGATCCTCACAGTAAATACAGAGCTGAATCCAGATCAAATGCACGCTGAAGGGACTTGAGCATGTTTTCTCTCAGTGATTGTGCTGTTGTGTTAAATGTTTGTTGTTTGTTGTTCATGTATTGTGTCTTGATATTTGTCTATGTTGATGTTACGCATGGAGCTGCTGTGATGCAAGTCAAATTTCCGACTTGATCTGGCCATTAAAGTATTATCGTATCGTATCATTGTTCTCCTTCTGTTGGGTTGTGACATATTTCCCTCCCTCTCATAGGTTGTAAAGTGGACATGTTTGACCTGAAGGTGGAGGCTGTCAACACCCACCGGGACAGACCATTAGTAAGCCTGTGACTTTTTAATTATATTCTCTAAAAAGTATGTGGTTAGATCTGTCTGAAGCTGTCACTGTGACCCAGAGTTCAGGGGAGTGCATGTGCCCAGTGCGTGCAGCGAGGATCAGTTACCCCCTACAGCCATTCTGAGATTTTCTTTTTTGATTACATTTTTAATAAATAAAACCGAGCAGCAGAAACACAACGACAGAAAATAAGCAAGTTGCGGAGTTGAGATATAAAGAAACACAAAGAACAACAATCTATTGGCTTAACCCTCCGGTATCACTGTGGACGTTTTGGTCCATATGGGTCATTTTTCACTTTTCATTTTACAATAACTTTGGTTGTGTTGTTGCAAATGGCCTAAGTTTTTGTAACAAGGCTATTTTCTCGATCTATTTTGGAATTCCAATTTAAATTTTTCAAATCGGTCTTTAATTCACTGTGTAACAAATCGATTACGCAAATTAGTCATTAGAGACCAAAATGTCCACTGCAAAATACTTTGATAAAAACATTATTATTAAGGTTTTTTTCACAACTTTTTTGGGTTCAATCTTTAAAGCAACTTCCGCCCTAAAATACCAAAAATGTAATCATTTTCAGGATTTAAACCCTTTAAATGCCATTTTGAATTCATGAAACATATCTGGTGATTGGCTCTTTTTTTTTACATAACAGTCTTGGATATGTCAAAGATTAGCAGCAAAATTGATTTTTTTGCATTATTATTTTTTGCACAAAATCAGATTGCACAAAAAAGTTACATATTAGTCATTCGGGACAAAAATGTCCACTTCCAAAAACTGCTCTAAAATGACAACAGATTAATATTTTGAAAAACTTTTTGGGGTTAAATCTTTCGATCAACTTCAGTCCTGATCAAAAATACCAAATGTTAAATTATGTTCAGGATTTTAACCCTTGAACTGCCAGTTTGAAAACATGAATTTGCGTTTTCTATGAAAAATATGCACAAAAAGGCAGTTATTTTCCACATAATAAATGTTGGGGGGGTCGGCTTTTTTTTTTTATCACAGTCTTGGATATATCAAAGATTAGCAACAACATTGATTTTGGTTGATTATTAGTTTTTGCACAAAATCAGATTAAACAAAAAAGTTACATATTAGCCATTCGGGACAAAAATGCCCACTTCCAAAAACTGCTCAAAAATGACAACAGATTAATATTTTAAAAAACATTTGGGGTTAAATCTTTCAATCAACTTCAGTCCTGATCAAAAATACCAAATGTTAAATTATGTTCAGGATTTTAACCCTTTAACTGCCAGTTTGAAAACATGATCTTGCGTTTTCTATGAAAAACATGCAAAAAAAGGCAGTTATTTTCCATATAATGAATGTTGGGGGGGTCGGCTTTTTTTTTATCACAGTCTTGGATATGTCAAAGATTAGCAACAACATTTATTTTGGTGGATTATTAGTTTTTGCACAGAATCAGATTAAACAAAAAACTCACACATCAGCCACTCGTGTCCCATCCACTCCCATTATAACCACATCTTTTGATCTCTCCGCCATACCGTTACCACATACCACACCATTGCATAAAATCATGCATTTTGTAATGTCAGGGTTTTATATTGGAGGAAAATAGTTCAATTTGTCCTTTTTATTCTATATCACCAGATGTGACATTTTACCATTGAATTACATGCTTGTCATTTCTTGGTTTCTTTGCCTGTTGTATAATGGGGCCCTGACAGCCATTGGAATACATGTATGCAACTAATATGATGTAGGTGTGTTGGTATGGATGTGGAAGAGTGGTACAGCTGGGAAAGTGTGTATTGTGTGATGTGTGTGTCTGGATGTACAGTGTGTGTGTACAGAGACAAACAATATACAGTAGGATCAACAGGATAATATATATAAGCAAAAGTACAACAGGTATATTCGCCTCATATCTTTCACTTCTTATCTCTCTCATTTTTCTTCTCTACATACCCACACAACATCATACAACAAAACATAACAAATACACAACACTTACATATTAAACCTCCTTATATCTTGGTATGTGTGTGAGTGATTGTGTGTGAGAATCGAACAGGCTAAGTGTGCTCTCATGGTGTTTGTTTTTCATTTTTGCTGTTTCATGAGTCTTTGAGCTAAACAGGATTTATGATTCTGACCACGGCTTGACCTAGAGTTTGAATATTTGGAAGCCTTCAAAGTCCTTTGATTAATGTCAAACAGGACACTACACAGCGATATATACACTCGCTTGAAGGTAAATAAAGAACACCCTGCGCTGGCAAAGCCAAAGGCTTCGACAATATCTCGATAGTATTAAGATGAGAATGGTCATTATTCATTCATAATACGCAAATACCAGTAAGATGAAGAGGAGCTTCTCTGTGGGAAAGAGGCCTCATGCAGCCCATAACTCATGGCTGCAGGACGTCCATCCTCTGAAACAGAAACACCCTTGTAGGAAGGAGAATCTGGTGTGGATCTGAAACTGCTGCTTGAAAGGAGTCAGCACCAAGGATAAAACACTTTTTTGGCAAAACAGGTTTTGCAACAGATTCATTTATCGGATGGGGCAGAGAAGAAGCGAACGAGATGTTCCTCGGCGGGCGGCCGCGGCGCGGACCACCCCACTCACGCTCTCGACTCGCAGAAACCGATGAGGTTCTTTGCTGATGGAGCTGTGAGAGGGATGCTGCTGAGGACAACACGGATGGGTGATGAGGTTGACGATGTATGAAGGACTACAAAACCTTTTTAGATGGAAAAAAGCCTGATGTATCACTAACCAGGTGCTTAGTGATCTCTCCTCAATCCCACACCACAAAGGGGATGATAGCACCCAGAGGATTGCCCCAGGAGTAACAATAATATTCGTTGCACCGCCACGTTTGAAGCAATGCTTAGAGAAAAATCAGATTTTTGCCGGTGGAGTCTGATCCGCTTCTCGTCCTGACCCTGTCCACTGAAAGTGTGAGAGGACCACAGAGGATCCCCATCCCGTAGCTGCGCTACATTGCCTCTGCACTGTGATCCTATTGCCAATGTTTTGCTCAAACATCTGTGGCATCCCTCCAGGTTTGCCACCGAACGTCCCCCATGCAGGGTGTGTTCAGTGTCGACAATTACTGCTGATGATCTCAGGGGTAAAGAAATAAATCAAAGAAGGATTGCACGTGCATAATTCTGCGGTGAGTACTCGCTAAGTGGCATAACGCGTGTGCCCTGAAGACCAAACGGTGGGCCAGCAGCAGATG